CCCCCCCACAGACTTCCACATGCTGCTCAAATCAATCCCAGGCCAGTGTGTTTGTCTCAGATGAGCAGTGTTTTCTCCAGTATGCCACCACTTTTTGGAACAGCACAAGCTTTCCTGTTGAGACTAGCCCAACTTGAAGCTCAGCTAGTTTTGAACCTGATTAGTAATGTTGCATCTGGAAATAATAGCGGTTATGGGAACCCTTTTGTTCCTTTAAATCTTTTACAGCCTGTTGGCATTCAAAGATCCTCATTTTTGAGCATGTACCAGTGCCCAGGGGGTTTTAAAAACATGGATTCCACACCTCACATGGTTAGTCATCCTTCAACAACAGTCACAGAAATGAATTCAGTCATTGCCAATAAGGAGAATTGCAGCTTACATCATCTAAAATGTTAATCTATCTATCTATCTATCTATCTATCTATCTGTTTGTCTGTCTGTCTGTCTTCCAAACCACTTGTCTTAATAGGGTTGTGGGTGTTTGTTTATTATTTTAAATAAATAAAATAATATTTGTTTTTGGACCAGAAATGTGCAGCTGTAACATTTGAAATCCCTGTTTTCCTTCCTTCCAGGAAGAGGATCAAATTCCTTCCTAAAGAGGCTGCAACATGGGCCTGCTGAGGTCACCGGCTGGAGGCCTGGTTCAGTCTATTTTCCCCCTCGATCAAAACGCAGCATAAGCCACAGCTTTCTCTCTAGACTGTAATAAAGCAATACATTATACTACACAAAGACCCTTATTCAGGAGAAAATACTAGGTCCCATCATGAATAATACAACATTGCCACTTCCAACATCTGAGGAAGCTCTTTTTAGATCCAGTCCCAACCATCTAGGCAAACATTTCACCTTAAAACCACATATGGACTGTTCTCAATACCAGTCAGTGACAGCCAAAGCAATGATGCCTCCTGATAGACCACAGATTGGAGAAGCAGAGCCAAAGCAACAAACAATGCTGCAGTATCCAACAGAAAGTCTGATCAAAGCTTTAACCAGCCTTGGCCTTTCTCTTGAGGATCTAGAATTACTCAGTCACTGCCCAGACAACCAGTTAACAACAGAGAATCTCCCCTTCATTATACAAGACATTCAACAGCGCAAAGGAACAAAGGACATTAAATATGGCCATGCTAGATGGATCTCATCTGATCAAGTGGGAGAGTCATCATACACTCATGGGGAACAGAGGAATCCGAGGATTATAAATGGTGAATGGCAAGAATCCCATTCCCAGAGATCTCTCAGCCCTGAAAGATGTCGCTCATCTAAAGTCATTTATAAGCACTTCTCGACCCAATCGAGAACACTAAGAACAAGACATTCATCAGGTGAGTTATTATTACATATAAAACCGATGCATCAATAACAATGCAGCTTACATCATCTAAAATGTTAATCTATCTATCTATCTATCTATCTATCTATCTGTTTGTCTGTCTGTCTGTCTTCCAAACCACTTGTCTTAATAGGGTTGTGGGTGTTTGTTTATTATTTTAAATAAATAAAATAATATTTGTTTTTGGACCAGAAATGTGCAGCTGTAACATTTGAAATCCCTGTTTTCCTTCCTTCCAGGAAGAGGATCAAATTCCTTCCTAAAGAGGCTGCAACATGGGCCTGCTGAGGTCACCGGCTGGAGGCCTGGTTCAGTCTATTTTCCCCCTCGATCAAAACGCAGCATAAGCCACAGCTTTCTCTCTAGACTGTAATAAAGCAATACATTATACTACACAAAGACCCTTGTCCTCTCCACACAGATCCAACACTTACAATGCCATGACAAAAGGTCATCAACAGTCTTCATTTCCAGTCAAATCTGCAAAATCAGAAGTAACCGCTGAATCCATCAACATTCAGATGCCAGTAACTAAGACGACTGCAAAAACATCAGCACAAACTGTAAGTTCTGGGAGGTGTAGGCCTACTAGAAATACTGATGGTTATTGATGTCATTATGGTGATAACAGCGACAAAGCGACCGTTGAAAATCATTTGAAATTTGTGTCAATACGTCATGAATAGAATGCAGCAGCAGCAGGGGATTTGTCGTGTCGCCACTCGCGTCAGGTGTAGACACGGTGTAACATTGGTTTTACTTTGTTTCACTAAACTAATCGTTGCCTGGGTTGTGTATGTATGTGTGGGACGGAGCTATCAAAATAGGGGCGATACCCTTTTGGGGTAGGGGCGTGTTTGTTTTGGTGATTTCAAATGTCAACATTGGCTACCAGAAATCGCTTACCCCACCTTTAATGCCCTCAAAGCAAAACTCTAATTAAAGGTGTTTTATAAAGTTTTCTATTCTCTAGTGTTAAATGTGATCACTACCACCATAATGATTGAAATGCCACCATTAAACCATTAAAGTATCACTTTAGTCTCAACATTGCTGGCTGAAAATAACGGGCATCTCAAATAGTTCGCACCGACAGTCCCATCATAACAAATGAACAAATGTGAAACAGTGACCTCTGGTGGCCTGAGAGTTGCAACGTTTAGGTTAGGAAACATTACGAACTCCACTCTTTCCTGTTCACTTTTTTCTTATTGTTCCCTTGTTGTTTCCAACAGGAGGGTGTGATTCGTGTGTCTGGAATCCCTCTTGATTACTCTCAGAGTGAACTCATCAAAATGGCATCTCCGTTTGGTCACTATGTTGAGGTTTTAATGGCGACTGAGGTTTACACAACAACCTGTCTAGAATGGAAGGTATGTGCCGTTTTAGGATGTATATGTAACACTTGTTTATTTTAAAACAATAAAACAATAATTACCTTTTTTCTAAAGTAATTTCCTGTAAAATACAGCACTTCTATATCAGCTTGTGTGTGTGTGTTTGTGTGTTTGTGTGTGTGTGTGTGTGTGTGTGTGTTTTCCAGGCTTTACTGATGTTTCCAACTGAATTCTCAGCCGAGGAGATGGTGAAGGTTTACTCTGCTATCCCAGTTCACATGAGACAGCAAAGTTTGGAGCTGGTGTCCCAAACTGTTGACTTTAGTTCACCTGTGAGTTGACACACTAATGGATAAATGGAAACAATTTTATAATTAATATTTTCTTGCATAAATACTTTTTTCAATACTTCATTTGTATATTTACTTTACTGAGTTTAATGCATACTTTTACTTCAGGTGTCAGTGTTTCATGCTTTTGTGGGGCCATCATTGTCAAATGCAAGTATCACTTGTTCTGGAGCCATTTCAAATATTCAAATTAAAACTTAATAATAATAAAAATAAAAAATTTTCGTCTATTCTTTAACAAGTCCCACTGTCTTTTAGGGGCTGCTGACAGCTTTGGACCATTTGCTGGTTGTATGTAATGTTCCCAATCAGCCCAGTGCTGCTACAGGAGTGCTACGGCTGCTAAAGCCTTTTGGACAAATTTTCAGAGCTCTGGTACTTCATGGAAACAAGGTAGAACAATAAAAATGTTTAACAGCATATATATAATAAGAAAAACTAAAATACATTTGGTTGTTTGAAAAATATGTGAAAACATTTGAGAGTTTGATTTTATTTCAGTCGTCTATGTTTTCTCAGCTTTTACCTATATTTGACTATTTGAGTCTAACCTATCAGTGAATTGATATATTTTTGTTTGTCTTCATAACTAGGTGGATGTTGATCAGTGCCTTGGGAACAATAGCAGCATCCAGATGGTTTTAGAGATGGAATCCGCTTCTGTTGCTTTATCTGTATATGAGTGGTCTCAAAAAATTCCTTGTCTTTATCACAACCATCATCTGTCCTTCCTCAGAGGATGTAATATACAGAAAAATACATCTGAGGTCCATTCAGCCTAATATCCTCACAGTTTTTTAGTCCCCTTAAGTATTGTATATTTTCATTATCTTGTAATAAAATAAAATGAAACAAGTTCATAAGAAGTATTATTGTTTGTCTTTCTCCTTTTATAAAATCATATATTTATTGAGCAGCAGAAGTTAACACTTAAAAATAGTAATCTCAAAAATATAAACTACAATCACTACAATACACATGGTAATGGAAATCCTGAAAATATCGGAATTTTAAAAGTCTGGGATATTTAGTTAAAAATACAGTAATAACAATCAACTTGAAAAGTCATGGAAAGGTCATTTGGAATGCATGGGTCAAAATTTATTCAATATCAGCTAAACAGATGTTCTCAAAATTATATATTATACATTAAATTATATAACATGGTTGTGATTTTAATTGTTAGATACTGCTAAAAAGGTAAAGATCAGTGAGGTGACAACCCCAAATCACAGTTTTAAAGAGTTAAATCTCCCACAAAAAAAAATAAATAAATAAACATTTACTCACCTTCACATTTTCTTTTTCAAATCAAATCACATTTTTATTTAATAATTTCCAATAAATTAGAATTTATGCTTTTTCCCATACAATAAAAGCATTAGTAACCAGGGGCCATCAAGCCGAAAAGGGATAAAAGAGCACCATTAGGTCTTATGTCATTCATGAATCAAGTTTAAAAAATGTCCCTGTACAGTATATATGCAAGTAAAATTTGAGAGTTGTGCCAGGGGGAAGATTTTCACACCACAATGCACTTCACTTGGCCTTAAAGGGACAAGCAAATGATGAAAGAACTCTTTCATCATTTGTGACCCTGGACCACAAAACCAGTCATAAGTAGCACGGGTATATTTGTAGCAATAGCCAACAATACATTGTATGGGTCAAAATTATTGATTTTTCTTTTATGCCAAAAACCATTAGGTTTTACCAGAATAGCATGTAATGTTCCATGAAGATATTTTGTAAATTTCCTACCATAAATATATCAAAACTTAATTTTTGATTAGTAATATGCATTGCTAAGAACTTCCTTTGGACAACTTTAAAGGCGATTTTCTCAATATTTTGATTTTATTTTTTTTTCCTGCACCCTCAGATTCCAGATTTTCAAATAGTTGTATCTCAGCCAAATATTGTCCTATCCTAACAAACCATACATCAATGGAAAGTTTATTTATTCAGCTTTCAGATGATGTATAAATCTCAATTTCAAAAAACTGAGCCTTATGACTGGTTTTTGGGTCACATTTACTCATCTTAGTTGTTCCAAACCTGTACGAGTTTCTTTTTTTTTTTTTTTGTTGAAAACAAAAGAAAATATTTGTTTGGCTGATTATTTTCTATTACACATAAAGAACAGCGCAAGTAACCCAACATTAAAGGTGGGGTAAGCGATTTCTGGTAGCCAATGTTGACATTTGAAATCACCAAAACAAACACGCCCCTACCCCAAAAGGGTCTTGCCCCTATTTTGATAGCTCCGCCCCACACATACGTACGCAACTCAGGCAACGATTAGTTCTGTGAAACAAAGCAAAACAAATGTTACACCGTGTCTACACCGGACGCGAGTTGTGCAGCGCGACAAAATACTATGGAACTCATTATAATCAGTAATGCTGTCTACACCGTAGATATATATATACATATCTATGGTCTATCCTTGAGTTCTCTCCAGCGCTGGAAAGCTGATCCGATATTTACACGGGTCCTACTTCTTGCCTTATTGCCTTAAGCCTTCTTTTGTTCCGCAGACGTTTTCCTTTTTTGTTTTTTATCCGCCATCTCTATCTTTCTGTCGCTCGGCTCGGCTAATGTCCGTCCTGTGCACTGAACGCTCTCTCCTCCACATCATGAGTAGACACGCCCCTTACTGCTGATTGGCTACAAGTTTGTTTTGCTAGTCGGCCCAAATCAGTTTTCTAAAGCGTTTTTGAAAAATCGCTTACCCCACCTTTAAAAGTTAACGTTCCCTGACCGGGAATCGAACCCAGGCTGCTGCAGTGAGAGCACTGAATCCTAACCACCACACCACCAGGTAGCGCTGTGCTTGCGATGACGAATATAGTAGTAGTCAAATCACGAATTCAAATTTAAAATTTCATCAATGTAGCTAACGTAATTATGCAACCTGTGATGTAGCATTTTGCTGTTTATCAAGTAGTCATACTTTATTGTTTCACATATTGTAATTAGCAGTCAATATATAGTAGATCTACAGCTTGTGTGGTATTCAGCAGTGAGTTACGTTTATTTATAACATCTGGGTCATTGTTCTTTACCTTAAAATGCTGTCAATGAGTGTCTTTGTACTAATTTGTGTTTTTTTTTAAATCACTTAGGTTATTCTATATTAAACATTTGAAGGTGTTATATCAGATCCAAATCTGGTTTAATGACACTATTTCATAAGAGGTTCCCAGCAAACACAGAGCGTTCCCCTAACGTTAGTTTTTGGTTCCCATTTGGTTATTTTTTGGGGAACCAAAAATTAACGTTCTGGGAACCAAAAACTAACGTTCCGGGAACGTTCTAGGAACCAACAATTGTTAGCTGGGTTACACCTCATGATGCTTTATCCAAACTATGTCAGCCATCTGTCCAAATAAAACAACCATGTTCTAACATTTTATTTCTTTTTTGTCAGTGCTTGTGCATTGAGGCTCTAATGTTCCTATCCAAGCCACCTTCAAGTACAGGCAAAGAGATGTGTTTTGGCGTAAAACCAAGTATTTTTCCACTGAATTTGCATGCAGGTAAATCCCTCCCGAATGTGCCTTTCAAAAAAACAGAAATCATATGTTAATAATTACAAATATGTGTAATAATACGTACTTTTTTTTTTTCAATTTACGAAAATCTATAGATATATTTTTATTGTATTAATGGCTCTTACGCGAATTAAAATTACGCGAAAGAGGTCAATTCATCTTTAAATACACTTTAAAAGCATGCGACAGTTTCCTGGCCATTTTGCAATCATCCTTTGAAATACCGACGATGACCCTCAGGAGGCGCCAGCGACATGTTTGTTTGAAAGGCCCACATGAGCACTCTGACGTAGGGTTGAAATCTAGCCAGGTAACGGTGTCGCTGCAAACAGGAAAATTACCTCTTTTAGTCGATTTGTTTGGCGATAGATTAGAGGGACAGAAGCGTTACAATGCCGGGTAAGTCCTCTTAACAGCCCACATCTTCAAAAGGAGTCATGTTTAATCTTTTGACTTTGTAAGTGCAGTGTGCTGGTCTCACTCTTTGTTTTGTAAAATGGTAGCCATCGCTGAATACGTAGAGCAGGAACACAGAAACAAATCGACACATTTAGCGTGCAATACAAAGCAAATTAAGCTGTTATAGGCTGACTTGGCAGAGTTCGTGTAAAGCGCAGTGTAGATGGAGGCCTAGTGAGATGTATGTGATGCAGGCGTGTGGCTAACTCACTCACGGATCCACCATGTTCCCTCATTTACTTAACGAAATCCTTTAAAACTTAACTATTACTAACAACTGGCGTCCGTTTTTGCTTCAGTAGGATTCAAATAACATTCAAACGTTACTCTGCAGGGCCAGGCAACATTTTTTCATGTGGAAAGACTGCTGTTGTTATGGCTCAAGCTAACACGCATAGCTTCACAATACACGCTCACTAACGTAGAGTTAGATTAAGTGTTTTATTCGAAGGTAGGGCACGTCTTACAGCAAAAAGGAAGCTGGTTTGATTGGAGACTTTTTTTTAATGGTTTATACTATAGATAGTTTTCTCTGGAGCCTTAGCCAGGCCTCATGTTACAATGAATCAAATCCATGTGGAGAAAGATGGTGTCGACTGATCTCCTCTGTCTCATTTATGCAACACATCGATAGTTAGTAACAGGTAGTTTATATGATGTTCTTTAAACCATGTGCGTTACTCACTGTGTCGTGTCGCAGGTATTAGAAGAGCTTAATAAACATTGTGCCTTCATTTTGTAATATTGAACGTCTAATTTGCTAGCAGGTTTTGTGTTTATGCGTGAACACAGTCTTAAACAGAGGGGCTAATCATTCTTACTGTGATAACAATGACTTAAATTTGCGTATGTTTTATGGTTTTTAAACTTGAATTTTTCATTTAACATGCACATTAATGAGTAAAGTTTTACAGATGCATATCATCTAAACTAATTGTATCCAGTGCCCCATAAATCTTTGTTCGTTGGTTTTAGTTTTATGTGTGTGTGTTTGAGGTACTATGTACTAAGAATGGGATCAGTATTAATATAGCATTTTACACCCCCAGAACCTGCTGATATTAACAGTCCAGAGGTAGCAAAGACACCAGGAGGAGGCAGCGGATCAGGGAAGGATGAGAATGTTGTGAATGGACACAAGGAGGGGGACGCAAACCCCTTCGCAGAGTACATGTGGATGGAGAACGAGGAGGAGTACAATAGACAGGTCAGTGTGAACCTGCTGAACGCATATGCCTGCTGTATGTATACTTATAAATAGGAGGATTCACAAGTTCAGTTAAACTTATTAAAGGAAATTCACACGAATTTGTCATTTACTCGCCCTTATGTCATTACAAACCTTTGTGACTATCTTCCATAAAACAATTTTAATTTGAATGAGTGGTTGTCACGAACATTCACATTACGGCTGCACGATATATCGTTTCAGCATCGATATCGCGATGTGCGCATCTGTGATAGTCACATCGCATGATGTGCGATGTTTAGTATAGGCTACTGATAGTTATATTTATACTGATTGTTTTCTTTGCTCACACAGACACGGTGTCTACACCGGACGCGACAGCTGTACAGAGATACCCATTTTAAATACATTTAGTAGCGGAGCTACTGCAAGCGATTTTTTTTTTTTTATTTAGTGCTGGAAATCCATTTATCCTTTGTTGAAACTTGTGCGTCGTCGTGGAGAGTGCAGGTCACGGTTGCTTAGCAATGTCAGACGCCACGAAAGCGCAAGTTCCCGAGCACTTTGGAAAAAAGGAGAAAGCGGCACGACTGGCGTTTTCCCACGCGTTTTTAGGCGCGATATGTGAACGGCCCCAAAGTCTGTCTAC